ACTTAGTCTGGCACATAGTAGATGCTGAATAAATGAATAAACTTTAAAAATTGCCACTTATATTGAAGTCCCAATATAAATGGCTAAAATGTGGCAATACTATTTATGAGTTAAAACAGTTTTCAATCACTTTTTTTAGCAGTAGACCTTTTTGTAAAAATCTTATCAGAAACCCAGTGTGGAAAAACAACACACTGTAAGTTTAAATTCTTAGCTTGACAGAACATACTTCACTTTAAGAGCAGTAAAGCCTAGGACAAGGAGTAGCAGCAGCAGAGGCAGCCCATGTGACTCAGGCATTTGAACAACTTTCTTCTTTATCTCCATCTCTCATAGGTCTCCTCTCTCTTTCCTAAAAAAGGATCTGCTCTCCAGGAGCAAAAATCCACCTTTCTTAATGGTGGGGCTTAGGAGTAGAAAGACTGCTGGTCACTGCATGAGCTACAGAGTTCTAGTTGCTAGTTATAATGTTATTTTGCTGGAGGCCCTGTTAACTTCTGAACAGGCAGAAACATGCACTAAACCAAATGTGGCAGGTCTATTCCTATGCTTTAAAGCTCAGTAAAGATAACCTACTTGCTTAGCAGTATGCTGCCGTGAACTAATTAAAACAAGGTACAGTATTACTGCATTCTATATTACTCCATAGAGCTTACCTGTATTACAGACCTTCCCCTAGCAATCAAATATGAGAAAGCATCCTTCCTCCCATTCCCATACGCAGACTTGGTAAAGAGTAGCATGGTAAAGTATGAAGCACTCATGTCACAGTCTGAACTGCAGACCACCACTTATTAGACGGACAACCTTGGGAACGTTACTTAACTTCTGTTTCTTCACCTGTAAAATACAGTGCCTACATCATTAGGGCTCTTGTGAGAACTGAAATCATGCACGTATGGCTTCTAGAACAGTGGGCACTCATTAAATGCATACTGTTGTTAATGTTTTTGAGATTTAGCTTTGATAAAGAGAAAAAAGAAAACAAACATTATTGGCTTCAGCCTATAAAACTGAAAAATCAACACAGACAGCATTAAAAAAATAATATCAAAAAAACGGAGGAGAAATATTTTTAATATATCTGTATGTAAGACAAAAATAGCTAAGGACATAGGTCATTTTCAGATTACCAGAGGCCTTTACCAAATTTAGTTCCTTCAAATAACCCAGTGCCCTCATTTTCTTAACCAAACTGACTGCCCCAACAGTAACTAGACTCCCCAGAAGTGTCAGCAGCCCTGAGAGAAATTACACTCTGAAGTCTTTCCATATAAATAGAGAGAACACTGTGTGTTCATAACAGGCTGCAAAATTGTTCTATTAAGTCAGAACTATTTGGGCACCTGAATTCAAACTCATTTATTTTGACTGATCTGACAGGTGAGCAATCGAAGGGCTAGGCTTTTAATGGAGTAAGGGCAACAAAAAAAAAAAAAAAAAAAAAACCCCACATAATATTGTAAAAAAGATTTTCCTATGTATGGACAGTTTTCTATGGAGAGTGTCTATAAGCTTTCATCAAAATATCAGAGTTGCTTGTTATCCAGAGAAGTTTAAGAATCATTCTTAAGATTCTCAACAGAGCCTCTTGTAACCTCAGTCTGGGAAGCTGGGGTGAGCATATTTCAAGGCAAGCACTCTGAACTGCCAATTCCATAAACTACTCATATTGGATAATGCCATGAAAACTCTAAGCATATTTCTCCCTTGCCATTAGCATTTTCCATATCAGTGTTTACTGCATTTCATCTTCTGCCAGGCCTCACCTCTTGCCTCTTTGCAAAGGTCTCTCTACCTGAAATGGCCTTATGGGCCTGCCATGCAATACCGATACCTACCGTAGGCAGGTTCTAGTTTCTATTCAAATCCATTATCGCTAACATTTCCCTTCATTTATGACTTGTCACATGAACACTAAGTACAAATAACGAACACCTTGTCATGTGAATCCCCTTCTAGTATTCTTACAAATTTAAAATACTAGCTGAACTTACTAATTCAATTCAAACACAACTGCACCCATATATTCTGAGAAACTAGAGAATTAATCAAGCCATAGAAAGAGCAACTCCAGCTTTGTACTCCAGTCTTGATGCCTCTATTTACAAAGGGGGGGGGGGGCAAAAAAAAACCTGGAGTTTATTTATAAAAAATTGTGTATTTATTCTTACATGCTTAAACTTCAGTCATCTTCAAAGTATTCTCTATTTGATGCAGTATGTTTTTCCACTGCTCAAAACAGTTTTTGAACTCAATTTTGGTACCTTTTAGTGGTTCTGCCGTTTTTTGTTTCACCTCTTCCACATTGGCAAAATGTTTCCCTTTGAGAGCTTTTTTTCATCTGGAGAAAACAAAAAAAAGTTGTCTAGGCCAAGATCAGGTGCATTGGAAGGGTGGAGCTCAGGGGTCATGCTGTTTTTCGGTCAAAAACTGCTGAACACTCAGTGTGGTGTGAGCAGGTGCGCTTGTAAATCACCCACCATGAAATGGGCAAGGCGTTGAAAGACTCTTCAAAAAAAAAATCACTGAAGCTAAACACGGCCTCAACAACGCCAGCTAGTACACTGATAGAGATGGGTTCCTAGAACACTCAGCGGGGGGGGGGGGGGGGGGGACCTGTACTACAAGGGGCTGGCCCTCCAGAAGATAATTTGGGTTTTTTGACTCCACCTTCATATATCAACTTATCACATATGACCACTATTATCAAGTACAAATTTCCACACCCCCTCAGGGTAGAAAAGTAAAATCGTCCTGTTTTAATTCATTTTTAATCAAATGTCTATTACTATTGACAACATTTCACCATTAGTATGTTCTAATGAAATCTGTAATCTCTATTTCATTTACTATACAAACTTTGAGATTTTAGCAATTGCAACCTTTTAGTGTGTAAAGCAAGGAGAAGAAAACAGGGTTGTGAAACACATCAAGGAGAAAATTAATTTTAGCTTCAATGACATCAGGCAAAGTAAAAACTTAAAGTCATATAAAATCAATTATCCTATATTACCACAAATAGATTTAAAATTGTATTCATTGAAAATTACATCTTAAATTTATCCTCTTTCACTACTGTTGCAGTATGAGTAACTACTTTTACGTTGCAACCAACTCAGAGCTTTTATTAAGTCCTTCCTTTGAGAAATGGTACTTGAAACATGTTAAGTCCCAGCTTTGTGTCCAGTGAAATAATGCCACCAAATTCACCAAGCACTGCCATATTCAGTACTACAGTCCTTTGTATCACTTTGTACATCAAGAACACATACTATGGGCTTCCTTTCATTTGTTTAATTGCCAAAACAGGTCAAAGATGCAGCTAAAGAATAATTTACTTGGCACTGTATAGAAATTTTCAACCCTAACCAACTATGGGCAATCAAGGGAAAAAAATGACAAATTAGAAAGGAATTTAAACTCATAAAGCATTAAGTGAAGATATGTTTAAGAGATCCAGCACTAAATCCACCTTACAGTAGTTAAATTAGCCAACCACTTCCCCCCCACAGGAAAGCAACGACGGATATTGATCAAAACTAACCAGGTTTTCCAGGAGCGACACTAAGGTATCACTAAGCATTCTCATCACAGAACGATTCTTAATTGAACAGAATCATGCAGGATAAAAAACATTATGAAATCAGTACACACATCACACTGGAATGGAATTAATCTTTACTCTGAGCCACACTGCCTGGATTGAAAAAAATGTGAACTAACAATATTTAAATAAGAGAAAATGACACTTGACAGAAACCAAAAGGATGACCTGAAATGACTCTAGAAGGAAGATAACTTTCACTTCTCAAAGTAATCCATACAGACAAGAATCAAACTACACTGAAATAACCTGTGACCTCACAGCAGTTAAGTTTCCTATTTGCTGCAACACTCTACTCCAAAAGTTAAAACACACAATGACAATACGAAAACACAATTACCATCCGATGATTATTTATTGATTTACGTAAGTACAGCGGATGGGGGAGGGAGTGCATGATGAAATGTTATTCTCAGATAGGTAATAACCTTTCTAAACCTCCATGGAATTCACGAATTCTACGTTTTACTTTCACCGGCTAGTTTTTGACTAAACGACCTCGTCATTAAATCTTTGCAATCAAAGCTGTCCAAAACACTACAATCGAGTGAGTAACATGAAATTAGGTACAGTCAACACTAGAACTGACACGAGTCCCGTTCATCTCCAGACATCAGAAAAGTAAATTAAGATCCTTTAAAATATTCAGCATAACACAAGCCTTCCCAGAAGCGAGACTTTTGGGGGTGAAGGGTAATGTCAGTTAACTTCCTCTTCCTTTAAAAAGGTCAAAGACAGGGAAGTGTCCGGCGTAACATTTCCTCCTTAGATCACGTTCCACCACAAACCACATCACAACTCCCCCAATCGCTAAAAAAATTAGCCAGAGGCAAGGCTTTCTGTAGTTTCACCATAGATTTAAAATCCAACTTACCTCAGAAACGAGCTGATTAGTTTCAAACAGGAAATTTACCCATAAAGTTTAATATGTATTAATAATAATACTTAAGCGAGCCCACCCTGCCCCGCTGCAGGGGGAGCTGAAGGGAGCCGAGGAGGAGGGTGTAGCCCTCACAGCAGGCAGAGCAAAGCCTTGCCTGCGGGCTGGGTCCCTGGCACCAGCGAATTCTGCCTAATGAAGGGGTGGGGGGGACTTTCGGGGAGGAGGTGATAAGGGGGAAGGATCCCCCAGCTCTAAAAGGGAACGGCTGCAGAAGCGAGGCCGAGTGGAGCTAGTTCTCACAGTATTGCAGAAGGTCCCGGGGTCCCCCGCAGTGCTGCTGCCAGGGCACCCCCAAAAGCTCCAGGCAAGCCCGGCGCGGGGGCTCGAGGAGCAGTGCCTTTTCCCTGGCTGGGCTGTGGCGGCCGGCAGGACAGTCCCCGGATGGGACCACAGCCCCCATGCTCTAAGGCGAAGAGAGCCGAAGGGCCGGCAGGAAAGTGAAAAGGATACTGTTGGGGCGCCTGGGTCTGGAGGGCCCTGATGTTCGGGTGAGGAGGGGCCGCTACCGCCGCCGCCGCCGCCGCCGCCGCCGCTGCTGCCGCCGCCGGGTGAGGAGGCGGTACCGCTGCCGCCGCCGCCGCCGCTCCGGTGCCGGGTCCGGTTCCTGCTGCAGCCGCTGAGCCTGATTTCAGAGCCGGTTTCTGCGGTAAACTCATGGCAAAGCGAAGCCACCAACCCCCCCAGAGCGGGACCGGGCGCGCCGGGGTGCAGGGGCCGGGGGCAGCGGGGGGGCGGGATGGGGGCAGACCCGGGGAGGCGGCGGGAGCGGGGGGTCGGGGGGAGGCTGGGAGGAGGAGGAGGAGGGGGCCGGGGCCGGTCACACACGCCCGCCGCCGCCGCCGCCGCCGCCGCCGCCGCCGCCGGCAGCAGCAGCCGCCCCGCGGGCCAGCACCACCGGCTGCCGGTCTCCGTGACAACGCGACCCCGGGGGGGGGGCCGGACCCGGCGGGGGCAGGAGGCGGAGAGACCGGACCTTTCACGGCAATATCCTCATGGGCCGGCGGCGGGGGGTCTTTATCCCCCTCCCCGGAGGAAGCGGCGCCCTTCTCGGTAGCGGGGCTCAGGCGATGCCGGCGGATTTTCTTCGCTCAACGAGCAGAGCATCCAACATGGCGCTACGGCCGCCTCCAGCAGTCCGGCAGGACGGCCGCTCGGCAAGCTTCGGACCTTCTCGGAGTGGCTCGGGAGGCCGAGAGTGGGAAGCCTCTTCGGCTCTTTTCGGAGACTACTTGCGGTCGGGATTCTTCGTAAATACTCGGGGGCGTCTTCGGCCACGGTTCGGGAGCGCTCTGGTGCTGACTCGCTTCCTCGGAAAAGATCGGCGAGGAGGGCTTCCGAGGCTCGCTGCGGAGGCGGGTACAGGGCGGAGGGAGAGACCAAAGGCGAGGTCTGATCTGCGAGAGTCCTCCCCTGCCGCCCAGCCTCGAAGAACAATGGTAACGGCCCCGGAGCCTACGGTCCGCAGAGCCCTGCCCGCAGGGGCGGGAACCTTGAGCTAGAAACCTGAGTTACAGTGGAAGGAACCGCCTAACCAGAGTAAAACCGCTGGTTAGGAACCTGCCGCGTGCTTCTATTAGCATAACAAATAGCCCTCGCCGGCCCGTTAACTACGCAATTCACTTCTATTGTGTGAGCATTCCGGCCCTTGGATACATTCAGAGAGGTAAGTGGAATGAAGAGCCCCATTTCTCCAGCACACTGAGGCTGGGAGAGGAAAAGTGACTGGCCCAAGGTCACCAGGCCGGGAAAGGAAAGCCAAGCCTAGATCTGAATTCCTTTTTCATCTAGATGAACCTTGCCATCTGACAAGTTGCCCGGGACCTAATCTGACCCACCTTATCTAATCAGCAGCCTTTACTGCGGTTTCTGTGGACGGATTCTTCCAAAGCCTGCCCCTACTAGAGCATCCGTGACCAGCTGCCCGCTCCCCAGAGACCTATGCCAGGGTAACACTTGTTGATAACCTCCTTATCTTCCCAGCTAGACAAACCAAGACCACCCCTTCCCCCTCCCCACATACTCCTCTCCCAGCAGGGGCCTTGTCCTAGGCACAGGAGAATTGAGTGGAAAGGTACCACAGGGATCACAGAGCAACAAGTAATAATGGTTACCAGGCACTGAGCACTTCATATTTATTATCTCACACAGTTCTGTGAAATGGGTAGGACCCATTTTACAAATGAAGACACTGAGGCTCTAAGAGGTTCAATACCATCATACAAGCTCAAACAGACAAGAGATTTTCTCAGGATCACATGGAGAGTGTAGATGGCAGAGACAAAATTAGGGTCCAGCCCTGGCTGGTGTGGCTCAGTGGAATGAGCTCCAGCCTGTGAACCAAGAGGCCGCGGGTTCGATTTCATTTCACAGCACATACCTAGGTTATGATGGGCCAGGTTCCCCACTGGGGGCATGCAAGAGGCAACCCAACTGATGTTTCTCTGGCGCATTGATGTTTCTCTCCCTCTCTTCCTCCTTTCCCCTCTCTCTGAAAATAAATAAAATCTTAAAAATAAAATATATTTTTTTAAAAATTAGTGTCCATTTCTGGCTCCTGCTATACTGTTTAACACTGGCTTCCTTTTTAATTTTTTCTAATTCAAATAAAGCTCTACACATAGTGGGTGCTTAATTAATTAATCCTCTCCCAGTTGAGCCCCAAATGCTTCCTCCGGGAAAAATGAACATCTGGAAGAGGCTGATAACACAACCCTGCCGCCCACCACCACATTTTTCTAGCAAGGGTCCATAAGGAAGCTTTTCCCCTTTCTCCAGCCTGGAAGACAGGAGCTACTTCGTACTCTGGAATCCTAAACCACTTGAATTTGTAACACCTAAATACCTATGATTGGATTTGCTGCTGTTCCACTGGCTCCAGAAAAAATTCCCAAGTGGTCCTTCAGTTCCCAGGATTCTCCGTCCATGTTTCCAGATCTCAGGCTTCCTTATCCCAATCAAAACCTGTTTCCAGAAAAGAATTTGGCTTCTCATTTAAGGTAGCATGATAACACACCGATAATTGCTTAATTGTTATTTTCTGAGCTATTGATAGTTCATTTTCTAACTTAATAATAGGTACAAGCATCTGGTGATTACTGTGTGCCTGGTCTTTGCTAAGCACTTTATGAGCATTATCTCTGAAAACAGATAGACCTTGGGCAAAATAATGTAAAAGTCCCTGATAAGATTCTGGCCCCAAGCAATCAATGCAGGGAGGCTTAATAAGGAGAGAAGTCAAAAAGGTAAAGCTTTCTCCTTGCACGGCCCTGCTCAACATCTCCCCTCACATACAGCATTGAATATTTATTGCATACCTGCTAATATGCCAGGGTACAGCTCTGCTAAACGTTCTGCTTAGATTAATTCCTTCCCCTCAACAACTCTCTAAAGTATTATTATATCCCATTTACAAATAAAGAAACTGAGGCTCAGTGACGTGAAGAAGTGACCTGTATAGCTTAAGTGGAAATTCTGGTATTCCCACCCAAGGTATCTGACTCCAGGTTTGATTCGCCACATCACCTTCAACAAAGCAAGCTCCCCACTGTGGCCAGAGGCACAGTTAACAAAGCAAAGCTGATTTTGTGAACTTGCTTCCCAAGAGCCTCCATGGCTCCCCCATTGCCATCAGGTACCTAGTCTACATTTAAACGCCTTCAGGATTTGAACTCTATTTCCATCCCGCCACTCTCCACCTCAACTCCAGAGCTGCAGCCACCTTGGTGGTTCTTGTTCTGAGGCCTGTATTCAGACTGCTCCTACTTTCTCTAACTCCCAACTATCCTCGCTCCCCGTAGCCCATTGGCTAATTCCTGCTCCTGCTTCAAAGCTTGGCTCAGTCCTCCTCTCCTCCAGGCAACCTTTCCTCCCTCACTCTCTAGGCTGAGCTAGGCTCCCCGGGCAGTGAATGCTTAGCTCTCAGGGCTCTCTTAGTGGTGAACAATTAAGAGCACAGCTGTTGGGTGGGTACCAGCCTGGTAGCTCAGTTGGTTGAATCATCGTCCCAGTATGCCAAGGTTGTGGGTTTGATCCCTGGTCAGAGCACATACAAGAATCAACTAATGAATATACAGATGGAGAGAACAACAGATCAATGTCTCTCTCCCTTCTCTCTGTCTCTAGAAGCAATAAGATTTTTTTTAAAAGATTTTATTTTATTTTTTGACAGAGGAGAATGGTGGTGGTGCGAGGTGGGGAGAACATTAATGTGTGGTTGCCTCTCATGCCCACCCTACTGAAGACCTGGCCCGCAACCCAGGCCTGTGCCCTGACTGGGAATCAAACCGGCTACCCTTGGTCCACAGCCTGGCACTCAATCCACTAAGTCACACCAGCCAGAGCTAAAAAATATATATATATATTTTTTTAAAGATCACAGCTGTTGGAATCAAATTACCTGAATTTGACCCTCAGCCCTGCCATTCATTACTTGTATAACCTTGGAGAAATCAACTCTCCACGCCTCAGTTTCCTCATCTGTAAAATGGAGAGCCTACCTCCTCTCATGAGAAATAAGCCAACAAATACAAAGCACGTAGCCCTGTCTTTGGCTCATAGTGATTGTTGAATACAATTTTAGCTATTATTTTTCATTTAAATGAAATCATTGTAATTTAAAATATCCCTGATGTCTAGCTCACAAAAAAACAGGATGTGAAACTTGCTGAAGAACAGAATAGTTGAGTTGCCAGAGGATTTCCTGACACCTTGGAGAAGTCCCAGGCACTAGAGAGCCCAGGTGGGGCCCCACTGTGCAGGGAGTGAGAAGCACAAGAGTATCCTGGTGAAGGCAGCGCAGCCCTCAGGGGAGTGTGGTATCTTTGACCAGCCATCCACTGTTCCCCAGAGCCCACCACCAGGCTATCTCCTGGTAGATGGTGTCAGAATTGAGTTAAATTGTAGGACACCTAACAGGTGTCAGAATTGCTTGGTGATGTTAGAAATAGCCCAGACGTCGGAATGCTCAATAAATGTTTGTTGACGGACCGAACACAAAATGATGAATACCACGGGTGCGCAGGTCACTGGGGTGGGGGGAGAATGGAGAGGATGGAGCACAGTTACCATGTTCTCACCCCTCAGCACTCCATTCCCTAACCCAGCTTGGATCAGAATTATTAATTCTGACCCAGAATTAGCCTGTCCTGCAGGTTGAACATCACTTGCAAATGCCTGTTGGAAAAATAGAATTAAGTTGTCTGACTGTGTCCATCATCATCAAGACACTGCTTTTCTCTTAGCTGGTCAGTTCTGAACAAAAAAAATGGACAGCATTTTCCTCAGAAGGGGAAAGTACAGGGAAGGAAGACGCAAAAAACACCGGAGTTATCTTCTAGAGGGCAGGCCCCTTGTAGTACAGGTTTCCCCCCATAGGCGAGTGTTCTAGGAACCCGGCTGTATCAGTGTACCAGCTGGCGTTGTTGTCAGAGGCTGCGTTCAGCTTCAGTGAATGTTTTTTGAAGACTCATCGTCTTTGTGCATTTCATGATGGCTGACTTACGAGCGCACCTGTCCACACCATGCTGAGTGTTCAGCAGTTTTTGAACAAAAACAACATAGCCCCCATGCTCCACCCTCCCTATTCACCCAGTCTTGCAACAAATGACATTTTTGTTTCCCTGGATGAAAAAATTCCTCAGAGGGAAATGTTTTGCCAACGTGGAAGAAGTGAAACAAAAAACAGCAGAGGCACTAAAAGGCATCAAAATTGACGAGGTCAA